GGGGGGGGGGGGGCCCCCCCGCCGCTTTCTCCGGCGGGGACCCGCATCCTTCGCCTGCTTTTCCCCGCATCCCTCCGTCCTTTCTTCTTTGGCGGGCAACCCGCATCCCTCCATCCTTCCTTTCTTGGGGCGGCTGCATCCCTCCATCCCCCCATCTTCCTCCGGGTGGAGGGGACGACACCTGCATCCCCCTCCTTCCCCGGGGTGACCTGTTTCCCTCCCCCCTTCCTTCCTTACGGGGAGGAACCCGCATCCCTCCACCCTTCCTCCCCTTCAGGGGCTACCCGCATCCCTCCATTCTTCGGGGGAGGAACCCGCATCCCTCTCCTTCCTCCGGGAGCCCCGCATCCCTCCTTCCCTCCATCCCTCCTTCCCTCCCGCTTCCACCTGCGTCCCCCCCCCATCTCCGGGGAGCTCCTCCATCCCTCCTTCCCCCGCATCCCCTCCTTCCTCCGGGCCGCCGCGTTCCGCGCTGCGGGGATGCTCGGAGGAACCTCTCCCGCTCCCGCTTCCCGCCCCCCCGCCCCCTCGATCCCCGCGCTTCTCCCGCGGAGCGGAGCGGAGTACCGCGGAGCCGGGGCACGCCGCTCGGCACGGCTCGGCACGGCTCGGCACGGCTGCAGGCCGCTTGACCCCACGCAGAGCGTCACCCCCTTCTGCACCATCACCATCATCATCGCCGGCATCGCGACCACCGCCCTCATCACCGCCATCACCTTCGTCACCACCACCAGCAGCACTATCACCCTCAGCACCACCATCACCCTCAGCATCACCATCACCCTCAGCACCACCACCATCACCACCATCACCTTCAGCACCACCATCACCTTCAGCACCACCATCACCCTCATCACCATCACCATCACCTTCAACACCACCATCACCCTCATCACCATCACTCTCATCACCACCTTCATCACCACCATCACCTTCATCACCACCACCCTCAGCACCATCACCACCATCATCCTCATCACCACCACCTTCATCACCACCACCATCACCACTATAACCTTCATCACCACCACCATCAGCACCATCACCACCATCATCCTCGTCACCACTACCCTCAGCAGCACCATGACCTACGTCATCACCACCAGCAGCACCATCTTCCTCATCACCACAACCCTCAACACCACCATGACCTACATCACCACCACCACCCTCATCACCACCGGCCACCACCCATCCCCAACACCAAGTATCACCCCCACCAGTGATGACCACCATGACCATCACCGTCCCTCCAGTCCTCCTCCCCCCTCCCAGGGGGCTCAGCCCCTCCCAGCTCCCCTCTCCTGGGGAAGGGGAAGCCCCCGACCCACAGCCCATGTTTGCAGGTGTCCAACCAGTACCAAGTACAGCCACATTGTGCTGACCCCAGGCAGGAACTAAATTCTGCTTTATTTCTGTATTTTTAACCCAAAAAACTATTAATTCCCCTTGTATTTCTCCTGTTAGCATCAAAACTAAAAACGTTAATTTTTTTTTCTCAAACAAGAACGGTCGTTTATTTGGGATTTTTTTTCTTTTCTCTTAAAATTCCTCTTTGCCTTGAAATTTTTTTTTTTCTCCTTGTGCAAAACCGGCCAGATTTGGGGCTGTGGGCTTGGGGTGGGAGGTTATTCACGAATTTTGGCTCCTTCCCCGAGCCAAATTTTCCCACTGCCACCACCAGTGGTTCGTCCCCCCCCGTCAGGGCCCTCTCTCCCAGTTGCCCCCACTGGGAAAACGGGAGCCCACTGGTCTGGCTCCCCTCAGGCCCAGAACTCTGCTGGGAGGGGGGAAAAGGGGGACGGGGGATTTGGGGGGAAGAACAGTGGGTGGGGGGCAAGCAGGGAGGGTCCTGGGGGACATCTCAGCCTGGGGGGGGGCAAAACCTTCCCGTGGTG